CCATGTGTTCCAGCCCTAACCACTAGACCACATGGCTTCTCCATGGCTTGAGCTGGGAAGGTCCAAAGAGAAACTCCCTTTCCAACCCCAGCCTGGAGTGTAGACTCTTCCCCAGCTAACAGGCTGCCCCTGTGGAGGCCAGGCTGGGCCAGGGTGCTGTGAGGGATGCTGGGGGGTTTCTGCCCACACATACGGTTTCCAGATTCCAGGGGATGAAAAGGAGGCCCTTAGGGGCGGAAATGGGGGATGTGCGATGACAAATTTAGACTGATTGCTTAAAAAAAAAAAAAAAAGGCCAAGAAACCCTAAAAAATAAAAGCAAAAATTCCGCTAGAAAACCAAAGGGAATTATTTGATTGTGAAACTGAGTGTCGTCAGGCGCAGGCGCAACACGGTTTCATGTGGAACAGTATCAAGGGTTCTTTGGACTTTGACTGCTCAGAGGACGGCGGGAGAGGAGGCTCTGTCTGCCGTTCCTGGCTTCACCTGCCTGGCTTTGGGACAAGGATGGAGTCGGGGCACCTGGGAGAATGCCTAGGAGTTCAGGAGCACTTGCTGTGGGGGTGCTTTCCTGTAAGTTTTGGGTCCTTCAAACAAGGGTCCTGCTGGCTTATAGCCAAGGGTCCCCACTAGCTCATGTAGGGAGCTGCCCGAGGGGAGGCTCCAACTGGTCTGTCCCCAAGAGCACGAGAAAGGATGAGCTGTAAGGTGTGGGTTTGGGGTGTCTCTGAGTGCTATCTAGTCGTAAAGGGAAATGGCTAGGAACAGAAGGTAAAGGAGAGGACAGCTGCCTGGAATTCTGGCCTGCAGCAGGCCTAAGAGGTCAAAGGTCAAGGGGGGACAAGGGGGACTTCCTGAGGCTCCCAGAGGAGTGCCAGCTAGCCAGTCAGCCAGGCTGTTGTGCAAGCTCTGGGATGGACCGTGAGGGCAGACTGGCAGAGGAACCATGCCTGGGCCGACACCCTCAGCCTACTCTATCTCCTGGAGCTGGAGTTGTGCCCTCTCTCCTCCAGGAAACCAGGATCCTGTCTCCTAATGTAGCACTCCTGTCCCACCTCAGAGGCCATATTCTATATGCCTGAGGGCTTCTTCTTTCATACCAATCCTGAACCTCTCTTCCCCAGAATCACCATCTTTTGAGAAACCAGAAAAACCTTCTCATGTAAGCCTTTTTCTTCCAATTCCAGTCTGATTCCCAAAGAGATCAAAGGGGTTTCTGAGGGGAGAGCTGCAAAGGGGCTCACAGGGTCCCAGCACCCGAGGAATGAGGCATAGAGTAAAATGGAAGAGAAAGCAAGCTCCGGTGCCAGGCCGTGGGCTAAGTTGGCAGATGTGCTGCACTGCTCTTATCTAAGCTTCACTTGAGCCTCTCAAGGTCTGTTATATTTACTCACATTTTACAGGTGAAGAAATTGAGGTTCTGAGGGTGAGATTAAACTGACAGCTGGTAAATGGCAGAGCAGAGACTTGCCCTTGCTCTTTCCAGATCACCTCCCTGCCCCTCGGCACAACCAATTTTGGCTGGAGATGAAGACCAACCACAATGAAGGGCCTAGAACTGTGTTTGGCTCGCAGTAGGCATGGAATGACCTGCTGGCTGATGCTCAGTCTCATGGAGAAAGGACAGGATCCTGAATGGAGCCTCGCACCAGCCACCAATTTCTCCTCGGAGATTCAGTATCTATAAAATTAGGATGTAGGATTGGCAGTTCGCTGATTTTCAAACTGGGTTCCCGGGTACCCTGGCATCCCCTAGAGATTGGGATGGGGGAGAAAAGGACAGAAAATAGGGGCGTGGATCCCCCAGCTCACCTTCTTCCAGGGAAGCTCAGATATTGCACATGCATGAAGGTTTTTATCAGAACAAGGGTCCCACATCATTCCATGGCCTCTATCTGAGGTCTCTGCATCTCCGACCTTCTGGGAGCCATGATCTAGGCAGTTCATGTCCTGGGCTGCCGAGAGGAGCCAGAGGATCTGAGAGGGAAGTGGGCAAAACCATGTCTGGGCTTCGAGCCCCGTGGGAAGAAGCAGGTTGAGGTCAGAGCTGTGAGATGAGGCCATGGAAGGGGAGGTGAGCTGTAGAGATACACGGCACCTGCCTCCGCACCTGGGAAACACAAACAGAGCTTTGGCCATGGCAGGCAGCCTAAGAACCAGGGGCAGCACCCACCTTCCTGGGGCCAGTGCCCCTTTCTCTTTTCCTGCCAGGCCTGCCCAGGTTTGTTCTCAGGGGACATCAGTGCTGGTCACCAACCTAGGGCCACCCTAACCTCCCATGATCTCATAATTCCTGACTGCTCAGCTCAAGGGTTACTTTAAGGAGAAAGCTGAGAATAGGCAAAGCTGCTCAGGAAGAGGAAAGCACACAGTCAGGGGGTATCCAGCAAGCAGGGGCTAATAATTCCCTTGAAAGAAGAACCCTCCATTGTGCCCTTTTTACTGGCCATCCTTTTTTAATCTGGTCATAAGAATAGTATCCTTCTCCTGGTAGCTTCAGCATGTATAGCTCCCTGAATATCATCATCTCCATGTTCCAGGTGGAGGAGAAAGCTGAGGGTTCCAGCTATCCAAGAACTAGATCTGGCATCCTCTTTCTATCCCACTGTCCACCCCAGGGCTTCCTCTGACCACCATTTATCCTCAACCTGCTGCTGGGCCCAGCCTCGCTCCACATAAGCAAAGCTGCCAGCAGCGTCCTTTGTGGTGCTGCTCCCGTGTGGCACTGCCTAGGGGCCCCGCCATGGGGCAACAGATGGACCTATGGTCTCTACAGAACAATGGTGGGGGAGGGGCCCTGGCATCGCCCGCCCCAAACAGGAAGCGCTGCATGAGCTTCAAAGAACTGGCAGGGCTGAGGGGCTGAGTGGCTGGAGCCAGTGCCAGGACTGGAGGCTGCCTGAAGATGCCTGCCAGCCTAGGGATGCCCAGCGTGCAGTGGGGGGGTGGTGCTGCGGTGGTAGGGGCAGCTGGGTCTTGGGCAGAGGATGCCTTGCAGTTCCCAATGCCAGTGCAGCACCCAGGGGGTGAGGGCAGGCTGAGGGAGGGGGGTTCGAACTCTAGGCTGATTCCCAGCTCCCCTGCCACTCGCCAGTGGGGCTGCAGGTTCTTTCCCAGGCCACAGTAGGTCTGGCCCTCCAGCAAGTAACCATGAGGGGCAGGGCTGGCACCAAGCCTGCCGCCCACTCCCTACCTCCTGCTCCCAGCTGCTCTGCTCAGAACCTTTTCCTCTCCACTTCCTGTTCACACAGGGGGGGGCGGGAAGTGGAGGGAGGAAGTTGGGGGGAGGCGTGTAGGGGGGGATCCATTGAATAAAAGGAATTAACTGTTTCCCTCCTCTGACCTCTGGGAATTTCCGCCTGTGAAAGTGTCTCGAAGAATCTGCAGAGCTGGGGAAGTGGGGAGGAGGTGTGCCCCTCTTGGTCCCCTCCCACCCGGCCCCGTGGTGGTGGTGGTGGTGGTGGTGGTGATGGTGGTGGTGGTGGTGATGGTGGTGGTGATGGTGATGGTGGTGGTGGGGGAGCCAGATAGCTCCCTCTGGGCCCTCTAACCTTTTGTTTCTCTGGCGCCAGGGGGGCAGCGCCCAGGGCAGCCTGGAGCCTGGTGGCCTCGTTGCCCCCTCGCGACCAATGGAGTTGGTGCCGGCGGGGCCTGCGACCAGAGGCTTGGGGGCAGGGGCAGGAACTGCGAGAATTGGTGGTCCCGGGGGAATGAGCTCACACCCAGTCTGGCCCGGTTCTGAACCCCGCTCCCTCCCTACCAGGGCTGGTGCCCTTGGCCAGTCTGCCTTGGGGACAGGAGAAGGGAGGGCGACCCGGCGGGCAAGCCGGACCTCAGACGCTGGGTAGGCACACCCTCCCAGGGCCACTCCCCCAGTAACTGTGGAAGCCAGCCAGTGGGTTCGGGAAGCCAGTAGACAGCGCCCCCTAGTGCCCGCTGCGGACTCGGCCGAGCGGCCCCCCAGGGCTCTCTCAAGGGCGGGCCTCAGGAAGCACCTGCTCCGCAGGACCAGTGGCCGCCCTGCGTCTCCCCCAGGTGGCTTCCTTGTTTACAGGCCTCCTGCCCTGATCCCAGCGTCACTGCTGTGGCCACTCCTATTTCCAGTGACCGCTCCAGGAGCAGCTCATTCATCTTGGCCTCTGCCCACGCAGCTGCTCCCCCACCCCCACTCCCTTCGGCCCTCCCCCAGGCTTCGGGCCAAGGCCCTGAGGGCCTTCTCTCTCCCCTTCATTCCAGACCTTTCTTGGTTTCCAGGGATTGAAGAGATGTGGCTTCCCGTTGCCCTGACTTAACGGAACCCCATTCTGTCAGTGCCAGGGAAGCCTGGGGCCTTTTTCCAGGAAAGAGGAAGCAGCCTAGGACCAGATGGGCAGGCTTAAGAAAGGACAGAAGGGGCAGGGGTGTCCCAGGCTGTCTTAGCCAAGTCTTCTGGGAGGAGGGAGCAATAGGGCAGTGTTTGTTTAACTAACATGTATTAGGTACCCATTATGTGCAAAGACAGAAGCCCCAGGCTGTTGGAAGTGACCAAAGTTTATACCTAATACTCACTGGGGGTACGGGGGAGGAGAGGGAGACATGACACAGTACCCCTGAGCCCTCTACTGGGAATGACTAGGTGTGTTGGGGAGCCCTAGGCCACATAAGGGAAAGGAAGGGAGCAGGAGCCCTCCAAATCTTTCTGGAACAGTGGAAAGGGAACAGGATTATGATGCCCTCTACCCTCCCAATGAGACCCCTCCACACACATTTACTCCCACTCTTGCTTCTGGGGGAAGATAGGGAGTCTGAGGCTCATCGAAGATCAGCAGCTTCCAGCCCTCTAAGTTGGCAGAGACGCTGAAGAGACCCTGTTGTTGTTCTATTAGTTGGGGAACTCAACAGGGCAAGATTCCACCAGGACTGCAGGAGATAAGTCTTGAAAGAAGATTTGGCCACTGAAGAGAGAAAAAAGACTGCAGTCACCAGCTAGGTGCTAGAACCCCAACCTGATTCCAGGAACGTTCACTTGTTATTTTATTTCAGTCTGGCAGCTGATAGACCACACCCATAGGGCCAGGCAGTGGACTGTGAACACCAGTCAATGGAGCAAAGGGTGCTCAGCTGATGTCACAGGAAGGCCCCAGAAGTATAATTTGGAGGAAGGAGCAGGTCACAGGAGCTAGACAGAAAAAAAAAAATTTCTTCCAAATGCCATAGATGGTGGCAGTGGCAGTTTCACCTCCATGTTGGACCTCAATATTATGGTTAAATGCCAGACAGTGGTAGGGCAGTATCAAAGCTGGGCAGAACCTGGAAAAGCAGGGATCCAGGCTGGCAAAGAGAAAGGCAAGCACAATCCAGCCTGTGTAAGGGCTGGTGGAAGGAGGAAGAATGAAGGGCTTAGATTATGGTTATGCAGTGGAGGCTCCCAGAAAATTCTTGGGACAAATAGGGAGGAACAGGCTGAGGAAATACTAATGGAAAAAATGACTTGAGAAATCAGTGCCTCCACCTGCCTGAGTGTGAAGGATTATGTGGGGAGCAGCACCACCTGCTGGCCAAAGGGAAGAACAGTCCCTGCTCCAAGACAGGATGGTTGGTGATAATTTCCAACTGAAACCTTCAAGTCAGAGAGGATAGAGTAGGGCGACAAGGGAGCAGAAAATGGCAAAATCATCCTGTCACACATTCAGGTGAAGGAGCAAGGGCCAAGGTTTGAAAGCATGCAGGGCCCTGGCAATCCCCACCCCCTCCTGGAGATCACTCACACACCACTCAGCCTAGCATCAACACAAAGCCATCAACTCCCAGAGCCACCACTGCAGTGTGAACAGTTTAATGCTCTGCACCCCATCAGTTCTCACTGTTCTATGAAGCCCTCTGCCCAGGGCACCCGTCATAAGGAGCCCTAGACAGTGTGCCCAAGAGCACACCCACCTTCAGCACCACCCCAAATGCCTAGGATTTGGAAGGGCTGTCTTTTCACTTCTGGAACCTGGGAGAGAAGAGGCACAGAATGAAAAGGAAGAATGGAACTCTCACTCTAGTAGGTGAATTGGATATATACAGAGAGTGAAAAGGAAAAATGAGCTGTTAAATGCACAGGGGAAGAGAGGAATTCGGTCAGAATTGTGACCTCTCCAGGCTAAGGCCCTCTTCTGGGAGGCAGGCTGATGGCCAGGCATAATAGCAGCTCTAAGACAACTCTGAAGAACAACATGGGCTGCCAGCAGGTGCACTCAGAGTTGACACCTCGTGGGTGACAGCTACACAGCTATAATTCTACTCCTCTCAACACAGTCATAGCCCTGCAGTCTCCAGGTGACTGAGCACACACTAGTGTGGCCTTCCCAAGAAGAAGCAAGTAGCTACTCCCAACTGCCTGCCCACCCATCGGGGTGACACCTCCTACAGCCAACTGAGGTGCTCTTCTTCATAGCGCTGGGGGTCGATGAATGGCCGGTCAATTGAGCGGATCATCAGCTCCCCACAGTACACGCACTCAGCAGCCACCAGTTCGTCTAGGTCAGCTTTGAGCTGTTCCCGGCTGGGCCCCGCAGCGGCAGCCCCGCCCTCAGCCTCCTTTGCTCGAGCAGAGCCCTTGGTAGGGGGTGGAGCAGCCCCCAGCTTTCGCTGCAGCTCCTCCAACCGGGCCTGTTTATAGGCTGGCAGGCCAGGCCGCACGGCCTGCAGCAGGCAGTCAGCATGGAACATGTGGCCACAGAGGAAGAGGTAAAAGGGGCGGTTGAGCAGGGGGAAGTCACAGGTGGCACATTTGTCCTGGGGCTCCACAGTACCATAGCGGCCCCGCAGCTCCTGTAGGTCTCGCCGGATGCGCTGGGCACTGGCTGTGGCCTCTTCCATTTCCCGCTGTAGCTCCTGGATGTGGTGGTTGTAGGCCTTCAGGGAGCTGCAGATAGCCTCCTTAAAGTGGTCAATGGTAACGAAGTCAGGAAAGAAGGGCAGCACATCCTCAATCTTGAGCAGGGGGCAGCTGGCCAGGCAGGCCATGGCTGTCTGCACATCTTCTTCCTCCTGCACTACGTGCCGTGCGATCTTCAGCCATAGCTTCTTGCGCAATTCCTCATCTTCCTCAGGTAAGTCAGCACACTGCTTGGCCAGGTCCACATCCACCTGTGGAGAGACCGTGAGTGTTAAGGTCAAGACTCCTCCCTGACTCAGGACAGAGATCCTGGGAGAGACAGATGCCCAGGGAGACCCTGGGCCTGAGGAAAGGCCTCAAGGTAGGATTCCCAGCATTCCTGGCAGCATGCAAGGCAGGATTTCTGGGGCCTGGAATAGTTATCTGTGTCAGTGATGGGCTGTCCCTGTCACAGCTATGTAAAAGCAACTTATGATTGCGGGGCTTCAAAATTAGTGAATTTAAAAATCACCTGGGGAACATAATCAAAATACAGATTTTTGGGTCCTGCCCTCGGGCATTCTGATTCAGTAAGTCCTTAAGGTGATAATTCATGATTTGAGAAATGCCACTCAGCATCTTCCCCTTCTACAACTGTGACAGTATGTATGTAGAACTTACCTAAGCACCAGGCACTATCCTGGGTGCTTTTCATATACAGTACTTTAATCAACCCTAAGAGAGAAGTACAATATTACCCCCATTTTCCAGCTGAATAATCTGGGGGCACACAGAGATTCAGAAACTAGCAAGTGGCAGAATCGGAATTCAAATCGTGACTTCAGAGTATGTGTTTTGTTTTTAACCTCTAGACTATAGCACCTCTCTGCAAGGAAAGCCAGCACCCCTTAGCCACAGCCACACACTCCTCCCAACCCTTCAGCTTCTGAAGCTATTGCTCTCCAGGCCCCTTTCCTAGATGGGGTCAAGACTCATTGGCTCACCTGCAGGGCCAGGTCTACAGCCTCCTCATACAGCTCCAGGACCTTGTAGACATGGACACAAGCACGGTGGTGGCCATGCTCAGCGCAGAGCCGCAGTGCATACTTCAGGTCATAATGCACTCGGTGCGGGCTGGCCCCGGCCTGCTCAAGGTAGGCCAGTAGTGAGGCTGGCTGGCCTCGGGCATAAAGTGACAGCAGGTAATTGTGAATGGCCTGTTCAGTCTCGCCCAGCACATTCACGCAGAACTCCATGTAGCGGATGGCCTGGCTCACCTGCTGGGCCTCGCCACCCTGGCTATAGTTCACCAGGGCAGGAATAAGCTGCCGAGCGTCCAGCCGGCTGCCCAGCTCAATCCAGGCGTCCACCAGCTGGCGGGGGATGTGACGGATGAGGATGGGTGAAAACTTATAGAAGAGCTGGGGGTCCCGGTGGCGGGCAAGCACGGCCAAGGCCTCTTCGTAGGCCTCATGCTGGCAGTGGTATGCCACCACCCGCTCATAGTCCTGCATGATCACAGCAAAGTACACCATGTGTTCTGTGTCCCCATGACTGGCAAGTAGCTCATGGATGGAGGCCCGGCTGGCAAAGAGCCACTCCTTATGTCGGGGGCTGCTGAGGAAGGTACGGAAACGCTCCCGTGTTTCCCGGTAGAGGTTCAGGGCCTCTGGGTCACCCTGCAGAGCCCCGAGTCGGCTCAGGTAGAGCTCCGTCAGCCAGGTGGTCAGCAGCGTGGCCTGGGTACGCTCAGCTGGCTTCAAACTGGCCAGTTTCCGCTGCAGGAACTCAGCCAGAGCTTCCTCCTGTCGGGCCTCCAAGAACTTGAGGGCAATCTCCTCAAAGTAGCTCTGGGTCAGGGCATAGCAGCGGGCGCTCTCCAGGTAACGACGCTGGCGAAAGCAGAAATCCGCCTCTCGGACCAGGACTGTGTCTAGGCAGTCGGGCCGCTCTCGACAATACTCTTTGGCCAGGTCGAAGCGGTTCATGTCTAGATAGGTGCGCCAGACATCCCGGGCTTCCCGTTGCACATGGTAGCGGAAGACAGCCCGCTCGGTGTAGGCCCACAGGTGGCCCGTGGAGGAGTCCTTCACCATGTGTTTCAGTGGCCCAAACTTCTCCAGGAAGTGATCCCGCAGCACCACCTGCCCAGTCAGAGTGCACACCGCCTCCACTCGGTCCGCCAGCAGCAGCAAGAAGTGGAACTGGGTCAGGACAATGGCCAGGGGTGGGCTGGCCCCAGGACCTACCCCTTCTGGGTACTCCCAGACATGCTCTTCACTCAGCAGGGAGTCAGGACGCCCGTTATCCAATGCTCCATATAACACCCCATCACCCATCATCCAGGCGAAGGCCCGTGGAGCAGAGCGCAATTTGGGGGTATAGAAGGCCAATTCACTGTAGCCCAGACTGCTGGGGAACTCACGGAATGGGGGTGGGTGGTCAGTGTAGACAGCAAAGAGCCCTAAGAAGCCCTGGGCCTCAGCTCCCTCTGCTGCTCGTCCTATGAACTGGAAGAGGCGCTGCCGAGTAGTGGCGATAACAAAGATGCGCCCATCAGGGCCCCTCTCAGCCTCCAGGGAACAAACAGGTGCTGGACCTCCTTCTTCATTTAGCACATACAATGGACGGAAGTAGAGATCCGGGGCAGGGCCAAAAAGGCCCCCCTCACTGGCTGAGAGCTCTGCTTCTAAGATCTGGCCTTGGGCAGTACCAACCAGGATGGGGCCTGTGCTGCTCTCAGTGCCCAGTGCCTTGTTCCAGCCTACACTCTCCACCAGCTGCCCCTTCCAGCGTGCCAATGGCCGTACTTTCTGTCCATTACGGTTCACGTAGAGGACCTCAGTGCTGCTCAGAGCAATCAGCAGGTGAGAACCTGGAGTGGGGGAGAGCATGGCACCCTAAAGGATGTTGCCATTCCCACCCTCAGCCTCCTCCTTGCCCCTACCACCCTCAGATTCCACCTACCCAGGCAATGACTTAACCTCAGCCCTACCCCACCCCCCACCCTCCACCCTAGACCTCCAGCATCACTTACCAGTATGGTCCAGGAACATCTTGTGAACTTTGGTATCATCCTTGCGTCCCAGCTCCACTTGGTTGGGTTCATTTGCCTTGCCCAAGTCGATGCTGTCAGGACAAGAATCACAACATCACTCCAGAGAAGAGCAAATCTTTTTTTTTTTTTTCAAATCACAGAACTCTTTATAATTTGATGAAAGCCACAGCCTTTCTTCCCTGAAATCTATGTATACACATAAAACTCCAGTATAATCCCAAGAGAACTCTGAAACACATACAGGGTCCTACTTAAGAACTCTCAGCTCTGAGAATTCTTCCACCTCATTTTGAGAAATCAGTAAACATAAAAGTCTTTTCCCTCTGCTCAACAGATTTCTAGAGCATCTGGAAAGATGGGCGGGGGTATCACAGATTGCTGGGGTAAAAAAATGAACAACAAATAGTTGCTAATGGTTACTGAGCACTTCCTATGTATCAAGCACCATGCCAAGAGCTCAATCTAGTATGATATCGATTAATCTTCACAATAACTTTGAGGGATGCTCCTGTTTAAACTATATTTCCTTTATTAAATTATTTTCAAATTATTATGCTCATTCTACCTAAACAAATCAATGCAAAGATGTATAAAGAAAAAGTTAATGATTTTCTTCTCAAACCCCTGTCAATCCCAATGGAAAACTGATGTTAAAATCTTTCTCCATGTTCATAACATAAATAGTGTTGTTTTGTCACTTTTTACAACGCCTTCACATTGTGTACGTGTGTGTATATTAATTTATAAGTTGCTTTTCTCGGGTTTTTAATATCAATGTCGAGTAGTTTGCTAATCCAGGTCTACATAATTCTTAATATTTCATGAATATTCCACTGGGTCAACAGAATCAGCTCTCATTATTTTAATAACTGAATAAGATTCCCTTTTATGGCTGAATGATAATTTAATCATTTTCCCATTGATGGGCATTCAGCTAGGGTCTAGTATTTCCTACTACAAATAATGCTGCAATCAATATCCTTGTATAGATACCCTTGCAAAAATGGACTTTTCTTTCTATGGTTATGTATTCCCCAAAATAGGATTGCTGGATCAAAGTTATATATATATTTTTTGTTTTGTTTTCTTATTTATTTTCAATTATAGTTGACATTCAATATTATTTTATATTAGTTTCAGGTGTGGTTAAACAGCATCGTGGTTAAACATTTATGTAATTTACAAAGTAATCTCCCCAATTACTCTAGTACCCACCTGGCACTATATATAGTTATTAAAATATTATTGACTATATTCCCTATGCTGTACTTTATATTCCCTTGACTATTTTGTAACTACCAATTTGTAATTCTCATCCCTTCACCTTTTTCAGTTATATATATTTTAAATTTTAATAGACATTGCCAGATTTTTTCCAAAAGGTGGCAATTTATACTCTCACCAGCAATGTATGAGAGTCCATTTCCACGTATCTTCACCAGCATCACATATTATTGTTTTTAATTTTTGCCAATCTGATAGGTTTTTAAAAAATGGCATCTGTTATTTTAATTTGCATTTCTCAGAGGTTAAAAATATTTTCAGATGTTCAGTGGAAATTTAGAGTTCCTCTTCTGTGAACTGCTTGTTCACATTCTTTGCCTTCTCTTTTCTAAATTGTCTTATTAATTTGTAAAGACTTTTTAAGAAAGTAGGATATGTTGTTAGTCATGTGGAAAAACATTCTCTCATCTCGTCTTAATGTGATTTATATGCTTTTTTGTTTTTATTTTGTCACAACAATTACTATGTAGTCCAATACATCTATCTTTTTCCTTGTGACATCTGAATTTTCTAACTAAAGTAAAAAGGTCTTCCTTCAGCCCAAGAACATAGAAATTTATTAAATATTCTTTTAATATTCACATTGTTTATGTTTTATATTTAAATAATTATTCCTCCTAGAATTCATTTTTGTGATAGAGGCTTAGCTGTTTTATTCCAAATGGTTATCTCGAATAGATACACAGTTTTGCTAACACCTTTGTCATACATTATTTCTATTTATTTATGTTTTTACTTTCAGTTTTATTAAGATATATTATTTCCATTTAGAGTAGATTTACTTCCGGACTCTAGACAATTCCACTCATCCATGTGACTAACATGTGGGCTGGTACTATCTTTAACAGACGAAGGGACACATTTAGAGAGACTAGATGACTTGCTCCAAAGCTGGTAAGTGGGAGAGCTGGGATCTAAATCCAGGTCTATCTGATTCTTAACTACTACGTTACATTGGTTCTTCGAGAAGGACATTTCTTAAAAATTCCAAATCCACTGTTTCACCTGCCCAGAGGGGTAGAAAAGCGTAAGTCAGTTAATAGTTTTAAAATACCACCATTCCACTCTCTACTCCTACATTTTTTGGATCCTCATTTACCGGAGCAGTGTATCTTTGCCCAGGCTCATGCAGAGCTGATTGCAGGAGACAACAAGACTTGTGATACGCTCGGAAGGGGTAAAGTCAATGCGCTGCTTCGTGAAGATGGGCACTTCCTTCTCTAGCTGGGCATTCACATATCCTACAGGTGAGGAGCAAAGAAAAGGTTAGCTATGGAAGAGACAGAGGAAGGGCAAGGAGAGGGAACAAAAAAGTGCTCTCCACTTTCTCAACATATTCCTACCCCAGGACCTTGGTTAACAAACAGTTTACTATCAGTATGTCAAGTAGTTTGTTAATCACCTCTACATTAGGGGTCCTGGGCTCTTCCCACACTTCTGAAAGCAGTAAGGGGTTGATTCTTTGGGCCCTTGGAATGCTGTTATGCCATGATGTACCTGCTCCCAGTGGTAATGGGGAAAAGGGCTGAGCGTTTCCCTTATCAACCTTTGGCTCAGTAATCCCAGCTCAACTAAAGCCATCTAGTTCCACTCTCTCCCCTCCTCCCTACCCATGCAGTAATGCTCTATGTGTCTCCAAAAGAATGAGGGCAGAGGGAGTCTTGGAAAACCATTTCAATCAGTAGGTTAACAAACTGAAGCTGCTTTCTCTCTAGCCTTTACTCTCATTCCCTTACCATTGCTCAAAACGCCCCAGGACTTCAGACCCCTCTGCCAACTCTGTACTACTTTCTACAAAAATTTCCCCTCAATGCCAGGCTGCACCCAGCTCTAGCAAAGGCCTGAAATACTTTATTTTTCCTTGTTCAGTGACAAAGTTCCCTTTAGGACTATCCCTCCTTCCCCTATAACTTTCCTCTTTCTCCAGTTTCTTTGCCCACTCTCTTCCTTTCACTTCCAGAAGGAGCCTGGTGGGAAAAGCACAGAATCAGGTGAAGCCTGAAGCCTATTCTCAGTTCTCCCAACTGTGGCCCTGTAGGCAAGTCACTTCCTTATCTGGGTCTCAGTTCCCTCTTAGAAAGACCCTAGTGGCAAGGCCTAGATAACGCGGCTGCTCTTGGGGCTCTTTCAAACTTCGACCATCCACCAGCTGGGGGCCAGGAGAGCCTGACGAGAATCAGGGGCCTACACCCAAACTGCACGTCCATGAAGTGAACTAGACCTATTGAAGCCACCCTCCCCACTCCACCCGCGCAGGTGCCAGGAAAGCCGAGGGGGATAGCGGTGCTCTCCCTTCCCTTACCCGAGTGGGGAATGCCCACACTGGGGCAGCCGGGCTGCAAGACGGCCGAACGGGACAAGGAGTCCTCATATTCATCCAGGATGGACGCCATGGTGCCCAGCCTCTGGACTCTCCGTCGCGGGCCTAAAGATTACAACAGGGCTCCCCTCAGGGATCCCTGTCGCCCCGGATTGGAACCTGCGACTCTCCAGCCTCTACTGGGATCTGACAGATCCTGGTAGTCCGCCGCTGACTCCTCTTTAAAATCCTGAAGCTTTTCTCGCTCACGTCTAATAGAGCGAGAAGACTGGGGACCCCTCCCCTTAAATCTGGCTAAGTCCTGCACTCCACTGCCACCCGCAAGAGATTTCCCACTGCCTATAGCGGAGCACAGGAGCTCCAACCTCGCCCCTGCAGCTCAGCTGACTCTCACCCCCTGGACGCGCGCCTATAACGTAACTTCCGGCCTCTCAGAACTTCGCGTACGCTGGTTTAGAAATTCGCAGGGCTGGCCAATGGGAGGCGCGGCGAGGGGGCGGGGCCAAGGCCAGGGCGGGGGCGGGGCGGGACTGAGACTCAGTTCTCGCTTGAGGGCGTGAGCCAGCAGTGCAGAGGCGTTTCTGCTTGAGGTGGAACCCCGCACGCATCTGAACTGGAGACCAGCGGGGTGATGGACTGGCCTCGCTGAACACAAGCCTTTCTCTCCAGGACCCTACTGCAGTTCCGGAAATTGACACTAGGAGGTAATCCCGCTTTCTTAGCCCCCTTCCAGGACCTGCCCAGCGCCGCACAGCCTCTGAGATATCCAGAAACTTTCATGCCCAGGCTTCCCTCCCTCAGACAGACCTTTATGAATTGCTCGCTGCCCTAGGTTCCCAAGAGTACCTCCCAGTCCTCAGTCTAATGGCTGTCTTGATCCTATCTTCTATGGCACAGGCAAGCAGTCCTGGCCTTTCTTCTCTCACATTCAGGGGCCCATCAGCTTCCAGATGTTGGCAAAGCTGGGTGACCCAGAGAGTGGGAAGCCATGTGCTTGCCTAACTTACCTCTAACTTGCTCCATAGTGGCTCCTCAGTGTTGGGGGAGATAGAGGGAGCGGCAGAGAAGACCAAGCACAGCTAAGGGATGCCAGGCCACTTCCACTGAGTCATCCAACAAAATGATGTTGAGCACTTACTCTGTGCCTAGCCTTGGGCTAGCTGCTGGGGTCACAGAAGTTAGTATAGTACCATCCTTGACGGTCATAATCCAACAGTGGCGATAGGCCAGTAACAGTAAATTTATAATTAATGCCAGAAAAGTCATTGATAAATTTGTTCAGAAGTCACCCATTCCACAAGTGAGTGCACTGTGTGTGCCAAGCACTGTTCCAGGCTCTAGGCCCCCTTCGTGGGGCGTACCCGAGGACGTGGCCATAGCGCTGTGAGAGCATGGAGGAGCGGGGAACAAATACCTGCCAAACCTGGCAGGATCAAGGGACAAATTACGTCGAAGGTGGGTGTGGAGTTCTAAGGGGCAGAACTGTGAGGGTTCGGGTGCGACTGCGATTGGGCTTCCCTCTTAGACGAAGTCTTTCCTTTCTGGGGCCCATAGATTCTACTTTGCTAAAGCGGAAGGCTCTTGGCCAGGATCACCGCGGTCCTGGCTTAAACGAGCAGTCCCAGCGTAATGACTAATAGCGACCCCTTTACTCTCAAAAGCTTTCACGTTTGCACAGTACATTGTGTGGTCACCCTATTCTTGCCAAACTTCTAGGCAAGGCGCAAAAGATGACCCCCACCGAGGGCTCTCTGGGTCTGGAGTGGCCCGGACAAGGAGGTGAGGAGAGGGGCGGCAACAGGTTACTGGGTCCAAGATAACTTCCGGTCGCGCCGGGAACTCGCTTCTACCGCGGGAAACCTGCGGCCGCGAGCGGCTCTCCCCACCAGGGGCGCTGCCGGGTTGGCTTGGACGAGCCGGGAATGTGCCAGAGCTGGGCTGTAGGCAGAGGTTTCTGCCCTGGGAAAAGTGATCCCAGTCAGAGAGCTTTCCTGCTCCGCGCAGAAGGCTCCACTCCAGATCACCTGCCGTCTGCATTAGGGAAACACAAATAGGTGCAACCAAAGGTCAAATAATCATAAAGGATACATCTACCGAGTACCAACAATGTGCCAAGCACCAAACTAAGTTCCTCATATTCACTGTTATTTCATTTTATGCGCACACTAATGCTATAAAGTTGTCATTGCTCTTTTCCCCGTGTTACAAAAGCAGAAACTGAAGTTAAGATGGTGGAGCAATTTGTCCAAGGTCATGTGGCTAGAAAGTGGTGAACCAAGAGGCAGTATTCAAATCCAAGCACACTGTCCATTCCCTCAATGCAAGCTAAGGAAGAGGGATCCAGCTGATTCCTCAGGTCTGGATTGTGCAGAGTGTACCTCCTGCATGGAGCTGGTCAGCATGGGGGTGGTCCTCTCAGGGACACAGTCCTTCCAGCTACCACCTCGTTTTCCCCAAAGCCTACCTCTTGGGCTCCACTGCTTTCTGGGATATATGGAGTGGAGCTTTAAGCGGGCCTTGCTTGCTACAGACTCAGTACATACTCCCTGTTGAGATGATTACAGCAGTATTCCTCCACATACTCATTCCCCAACCCTTAGGCTGGATTTTGGAATAAGAGCCAGAGACCAGCCTTCTTATCCCTCCCCAGTTACTAGCTGTGACACTATGCACATATGATGCTCTTAGCCTCAGTTTCCTTATCTACAGAAATAAATATAATGATACTTACCTAGAAGGTCTATGTCGAAGAGTTAATGAGGTAATCTAGGAGAAAGCTCACTGCTATAGCATAATGTCTAACACAGAACATAGAATATGTGATCAATAAACTCTAAATGCTGCTTTAATCTGATAGTGACTCTCAAGTCCACCTCCTCCCTGCTTCATAACTTCCCCCTCAGAACTGCTATGGCTTTTCTTGTCCTGGCCACTTACTGGCACCTAATTATGAAGTGTGAGCATTCTGATTTGATATAACAGAAACTGATTGTGGGGAATAACCTGAACATTGCTGAGCACAGGAATACAGAGGTGCCTTAAGGAACTCAAAGGTGCAGATACAGATCCACCAGCTTCTACCCCTCAGAATCTCATGTGGTAGTTGCCATGAGACAGGTAAAGGCTGACTGCTGGGCTAGGGAGAGAGAGGACTGATGTATAAAAGCAGGTGAATTTGAGCTAGGCCTTGAAGTGCATTATGATTTCCAAGGGTGGAAAAGGAAAGGCATTAGGCAGGCCTCAAGAAAACCAAGAGCAAAGGCCTGCAAACAGTGTGATGTTTGAGGACAAAAAGCTAGAACACTAGGGAGTAGGGCAGTGGAGGAAATGCGACCAGCTGTGGCCAGATTGTGAAAGGCTTTGAATGGGCCCTTGGAAAGCTTTGGTTGGGGATGAGATCATCTGATGTGGGTTCTAGAAAGATGGGCGGTGGCTTGGGTGGAGTTCACAGCAGAAAAGATGAGACCTGAGGCAGAAGCAAAAGAGAAGTGAGGGCCCAACCTGAAGAAAGCAAGAGGAGACTGGGAAGATTCAGGGGAGACATTTCTAAGGAAGGGCCCACTGAACTTAGTGTCGAGTTAGATGTGGGGGGAGGGTGGCAGAAGAGTGCAAGGTGACTCTTGGGAGACCTGGCAGATGGTAAAGTGACATCATTGTCCAGGCGGAGGAAGAGCTGCTGGCGAAGGTCACGTGATTGAGCTCACTCCACCAGTGGACATGAGGCCCCTGCAGGGCATTAAGTAGAAGAGACCCAGCACCTGTGAAACAGTCAGTAACTAATAAATATTTATTAAACAATTGCATGAATGAGCTTCCTCATGCTTCAGTTTCTACATTTGTAAATGAGAAGAACCTACCTTATAGCATTTTATTATAGGATATTATGCAAATCAAGCATTGTACATATACCTAGAAAATGCTCAATATAACTTAATTATTATTAGTAATTGTTAACTGATTGAAGACGTAGACCAAAAAGAATAATTTAATTGACGTAAGTGAGTAATTCATTTTTAAAAAATAGACTCTTTTAGAATGGCTTTAGATTTACAGAAAAAGTGAGAAGGTAGTAGAGCATTTCCATATACCTTACAACCAGTTCCCCTTATTATGAACATCTTACATTAGTATGGTATATTTGTTATAATTAGTGAACCAATATTGATACATTATTATTTACTGTAATAAAGTCCATACTTTATTCAAATTTCCAAGTTTTTACTTGGAAATTCCAAGTTTTTACTTAATGTCCTCTTTCTGTTCTAGAATCCCATCCAAGATATCACCTTCTATTTAGTTATCATGTTTCCTTAAGCCCCTCTTGACTATGACAGTTTTTGAGACTTTAGTTGTTTTTGATAACCTTGACAATTTTGAGGAATGCTGGCCAGGTGATTTGTAGGATGCTCTCTATTGGAATTTGTCTGATATCTTTTTTTTTTTCATGCTTAGTTGAGATTATGGATTTGGGGAAGGTGAAGTACCATTATCATCACATCATATCAAGGGTACATACCATCAACATGACATCAACCCTTGATGTTGACCTTGATCACCTGCCTGAGGTAGTGTTTGTCAGCTTTCTCTACCATAAAGTTACTCTTCCCCTCTCCATACTGTGCTCTTTGGAAGGAAGTCAGTACACACAACCCACATTTAAGGAACGGGGGTTTATACTTCCTTGAGGGTAAAGTATAAATCATTTGGAATTCTTATGCATGGGAGAATTAGGAATTTGTTTTTAAATTTAATTTTTGTTTTAATCTTTGTAATATGTATACATTTTTAAATGGAGCTACAATGAGTAGTCCTTTGCCTCGTCCTCAGTTAAACTCCACTGGGTCTGTTCTCATCTCTCAGTGCTGATCTATTGGATATTCCTAGAATGTACTCTGCCCCTCCAGACACTTGGGTATTTAGTCGTGGGAGTTTGCCTCCTCTGGACTGACTTCCCTGATACTTTTACCCCTGCCAGGATCAGGCCCCTCCTAGGTCCTCCCTGAGCCCCCTGTGCTGATCACCCCACATTATGATCACCCTGCATTATAATTGCCTAGTGACTTTTCTCTCTCTCTTTCTCTCCTCTCTCCTTTCCTCCTCTTCCTCTTCTCTCATCCTCCCTCTTCTTCCTCTCTTTCCCCTCTCCTCCTCCCTGGGCTGACTGTGCATAAGCTGGCTGAGGGCAAGGACAGGTGGCTAGTACACCCTCTCCTGGGACAGGGTGTGGCACATTCTTGGCCCCTGTTAAAATACAGCAAAGGAAAGAAGGCCCTCAGCTCACTCAGAACATCTCTTCACAACTCTTTACAGGAGATCGTAAATCTCTTCTGTTTCCTCTTTGGTTCCCTTCTAGAAGTTTCCAAACCTACATAATCACCCTAAGTCTCAAAAAGCCTCCCCTCCCTTTTACTGTCATCTCTTCTCTCACTGAGTAAATGTCGAAGCCCCAGCCAAGGCATGTGTGGACCCAGCCTGCCCTCTTTCTTCCCCACCACATACTAGGGTTGTGGGCCCAGCAGCCCCAGAAAAGCTACTGGGCATAGGGGAGGAAGACACTTGTCTAGGCGAGAAGTAAAAGTGTCCTCAGGTCAGTAGTCCTCAAAACTAGGGTTCACTCTTCCTTAGGTATTGGGAAGGCTCTCCCAGGGGGCACAGGGCACCAAATAGTTTTAAGGAAATCAGTGTCCAGAGTCTCAGCTTCCCTTGGGTCTTTTCTAAAAGTGACCAGTAGGAAAAGGTATCTGGGAACAAGGGCAGATTCCCTTCCACCTTCCTGCTTCTACTCTTCAAAAGCAAAGTACACTTACTGACCAGAGTGTTGAAACTAACACCCCCCACTCCATGGTACATTGTTTCTGGGTGTAAAAATCTGCAGGGAGACCACTGGAATTAAAGTTATTGTTTCCACAAAGAGAATAAAGACCAGGTAACAAGTCCTTTGCACATCAAATGGTTTCTAGTTCTTTAATTTGCATATAGTTTGAGAACTTAATCAGATTTTAGCTGACTGAAAAAAAAAATCACTAACATTTTTAGCATATAATTTGGAAGGGAGTCAAATGTTCCAGTAACATTGCTATCCAAACCTCTTTTCATTCCCATCTAGTGACTTATGTAAGCAAGGTTTTTTCCACATTTACAGCAACACAAAACAAAAATTATATAGGGAGAGAATTGATGCTCAACTTTGTTTTAGTCAAGTATTGTATCCACAAATATACGAACTAATTGAAAATAAAAACAAAAAAGAAAAAGCTCTGTTTCTCATCAAGAAATGTATTACCAATATAATTTCTTTCTATGTATAATTATTTTTTCGAAATGTATAATATATTTATGTTTTGATTAGTTAAATAATAATTATAATGATAATTCAAAAGAAAACAATGGTAAGACTTAGAGAATTTTGCCCTCCCATCCCTCCCCCACCCCCAGCCTGGTATAGATCATGCCACCAGTGGCATCCCTGACTGTGGGGAGATGGTAGCCTATGACAGTTAAGTGACACTGATTCTCCCCACCCCACCTGACCCCTGAGAAAGAGGGACATCCTCTGACATATGATGGGGTGGAGAAGTGGGTAATGAATTCAGTTCCACCTGAGAGGGTGAGTGGAAGATAAACTTAGAGCCTTACAATAAGAAATGTGACATTATAATGTTAAAAAATGTATATACTAATTATAAATAATTAGGATAAGGTAGCAATAAAAACTTTCAAGCATAACATACATTACAGTAAGATTGGAAACATTGGGAAAAAATGAATAACAAAATTTCCAACTGCTAAAGAAGAGTTTGTCAACATATTTTTTTAATGGATAATGGAGAATATCAGATGATATTGGGTGCGTTCAGGGTGATATGGCCATAGGATAATGGAGAATATCAGATTGCTTTGGTATTTAGATTTCAATGCATAGTTTAAAAGAGTGAGGTAATCATTTTATTTAAGCATCAATATTCAATGTATCCTAGAAATGACATTCTTTGCAACTATTTGGACTTAAAATGAAAAGTTTTAGTATTTAGTATAGTTTGATAAAGTTCTTTTAGTGAGTATGGCATCTGGTAGGGTCCAGGCTTTGTACTAGCACCACCTCTGCCAGGAGCCCTTCCCAGGCCAGCCTTTGCTTTTCCCACCACCACCCTCCCTGCAGTTTCTACAGGCCCCTCTTCTTTCCAGAATATGGAATCACACTCAGCCAGGTGATGCTGTTAGACAAGTCACCAAGCCCCCTAACCATCTCTAACATTCTATGGTTCTCTGAAAGCCAAACCCTTGTCACAGTCTATTTAGAGGCATTTGGAGACAGTGCCCAGAAAATAATGATTTTCAGGGCACTGCGTCAGAGCTAGTCACTATGCTTCTTACCTGTCCCTTAGTCTAGGAAACATTTTAAAAGATGCCTAAGCCAGGGAACCTTCTCTAATTAATGTGAAACCTAATAAAATCTAACAACCAGCCCTCATCCTGCCTCTAACCTTTTTAGATCATGAGACCTGACACATCGTAAGGACTTGGGAAGTGCCTGTTGAGTGAATGCATGACTTAACATGTTAATGTGCATTTACATGGGTACACTATGTCACACTGCATATGTCTGAAATAAACTTGCCTATAAACTCACCCACAATGGCTTCTTGCAGAAACTGTTTTCAAACTTTTAAAAATGATGAGGTTTTTTGTATTTAAAAGCAATAGCAACAACAATAATAAAATCCAAAATGTTTTAAAAAACCACCAATACCAAATGTTGTGAGGTTATGGAGCTACTGGAACTCATTGCTAATGGAAATATAAAATGGTGCAACCATTAACAGCCATTTAATATGCACTTACTTTATGACCCAGCAATTCCATACCTGGATATTTACCCAAGAGAAAGAAAACACATTGTCCACACAAAGATTTGTATGGGAATGTTTATAGCAAATTTTTTCATAATAGCCCCAAACTGGAAACAAGTCAAATGTTTATCACAAGAGAATAAACAAATAGTGGTATATCCATACAATGGAATACTCTTTGGTGATAAAAAAAGAAAAAATCTCTCTAACACAAAATGTGAATGAATCTTAAAGACATGCTGGGTGTAAGAAGCATGACACAAAAAGAGTACATAGAGCATAATTCTCTTTATTTGAAATTCTAAAACAGGAAAAAATTATACTCTAGTGACAGAAAGCTGATCAGTGTTTGCCTGGGACCTGACATGGGGTGGAGGATGGACTGGAAAAGTGCAAGAAGGAACTTTTTAGGGGAGATGGAAATGCTTTTTATCTTGACTGTGGTGGTGATGACTACATAGGTGGACATCCTGGTTGATACTCATTGAACTATACACTTAAAGTGGGTGCTTCCTAAACATAAATGATATCTCAATAAATTTGATTACGTCATAAAATTTTAAAAAGATCTCTGAGCTAATGTGAGAATGATAATTAGTGTTTATAAGGCAAAAGATAATAAAACAATAGATAATCTGCTTTGTAGCCCATAATTCTTGAGGGGAGGACTGAAAAGAGGATAATGTTGGAGTGACAGACCTAGGCTCCACAATCCTGGCTAAACCAGGAGGCCTCAGGCAAGTCAATTAACCTCTAGGGAGACTCAGTTTCCTCATCTGTAAAATAAAGATAATAACAATAACAATATATTAAAATGATGATTTGAATAAATTTCTTTTTGTGTTCCTTGTCTGGGTCACAGAAGACAGAATTCTGCAAATTTGTATTGTTCATTTTTAGGCAGGGCCTTGACTTCATTTGAAAAAATGATAGTTCACTCTTGCAGAGTACTCTCTAGTGCTGGCACTATTCTAATCACAACATTCTATCAAGTAGGTACTATTTTAATCTTATTTTACAGACAAGGTAACTGAGGCCCAGAGAAAACAACAGCTCATAAGGGACACAACCTGGATACCAATCCAGGTGCTTTGTCCCACAGCCCATGCTCTGGACCATCAAGCTAACTTGTCTCTTGTTGACAAAGTTGTAATTTGAAATGAAGGAGGGGAAAGAAATTGGACTTAGAAATACTAGCTCTACATAAACTTAAATGTGAACAAAAACCAGAACCTTTCATATCAGTACTTTCACAAAAAAACTAAGTGCTGATTTCATATTGTTTTGGAAAATCCTGCTGTTTCTAGTTTCAAGTGGTCTTTCTGAAGAGCAGGCTTGAACTACTAACAAGCAAAAAGAGATTTAGTTAGGGTGACCAACCCTCCTGATTTTAGCACTAACAGTTTTGTGTCCCAGGGCATCCTTAGTCCTGGTCGCTCTAGGCTGAGCTGTTCCCCAGTGAAATAACCTCAAAGGAAAAGAAGTTGTGGTGTCACCTGGATCTGTCTCCTGCCTCTCTTTTCAGCTCATTCTCACCCCTCCTTTCCTCTGCCAGGCTGAGCTACTTTTAGTTCCCAAATGGACCAGACTCTATTTCCCCTCTGAGCCCGATTCCTGCTATTTTTTTCAGGATGTTCCCAAGTCCTCTTGGCTTGGTTCACAGTCATTCCAAATTCAGCCAGACTGATGAAGTGCAGCAGGTACATACAAGTATG